ACAAATGTGCATTTATTATTTTTTGTATATAGGTGAACTTATCCTTAAACACCCATGTACAGTACATACAGAAACACATATTCATGATGCACATTACTGCAGGTTTCATATATACTTCCACTTTTAATGTTTATTTACAAAGTGTTCAGAAGTAAGGAATTATGGAGAAATGTTCATGTTTTGACAGCAGTTGATTATTTTATTAGGGTAGCATTGAATTGATCAGAAATGATAGCTCCTACATTAAAAAAGGCTAGATCCTCCTGCGCTCTTATGTAGGGCAGAAACAATGTATAAATATATAATGTAAATGAAATAAAATTAAATTAAATAAGACAGCAGCTAGCATCCTATCCTATACCATATAGGTCTAAAATCAGATAATCACGCGAATGCCGTCGACACGTTACGTGATCTCGTGACTTCATTAGGACATCGCGATTGGTTGACCGCACTTCCATATAAAGGCCGGGAGTCGCACCAATCAGGAGTATTGGGCGGCGCTCCCACCGCCATTTTATTGTAGCACATAAACTCCGGACATATAATGTATATATATGAAAGACAAAAGCCGCACCACCATAAAGGTGAAAAACGGCACTCCGATGGTCAATGTACTGCAGCACATCCAGGGAAATAATGACATGACCTAGGAAATGCGGTCGACCAATCGCGATGTCCTGATGAAGTTACGAGATCACGGGACGCAACGCATCAACGGCATTCGTGTGCGGCGCACTTCCGGCGTGGCGCCATTTTTGAATTCTATAAGTGCTTTTTCTTCATGCAGTATACCTTGCACATTGGATTCTACCTTGACTACAGCTGTACACATTGCTCATTGGATTCTACTTTGATAGATTCAAGCTACATTTATGTGAGTGCACTTCTGGTTCTTTATTATATGCCATTAAACAGTATTACACTATGGGATTGTGTTCTCTCTCTGTTCTATGGGCATATGATCTATGGTACCTATATGAGTGCTAAGCTGCCTGGTGACTGGTCCAGTGGAGTGATGAGGACCTATTACCTGTGACATCATCTGGTTATTAAAGGGGTACCTTGAGGATCCAGAGCAGAGGTTTATTTGCTTTGTGGCCCTGCAGGGTCATGACATGGAGGTGAAAGGCCATTGCAGCCATTCCTTTTGGGTTCACAAGGAGGTTGGTTAGACATCCACATCGTGCATAAATAAGAAGATCACCACACCATTTATGGACTTGTTTTACACTTTATATGTTTATATGATATGTGTTTCACATGGTGTTTTTTTCTGATCCCATAGCAGGGACTCACATTTGTATTTTCATTGTGTCCCTAATAGGACGCCTGGGAGTCTCCATGTTTGAATGGACACAGCGTGTGCCCCCATTGCAAGCTCCTTGCTATGGGGGAACCCAACAGATGGGAGGGGCCAGGAGAGCCTGCAGGGACCTGAGAAGTGGAGGATCCGGGCTGCTGTGTGCAAAACCACTGCATATTGCAGGTAAGTATAGACATGTTTGTTATTTTTAGAAAAAAAAGTTAAGCCCTTATTATCGCTTTAAGCATTAGCTCAGAGAGTTTACCATTAGGACAAAGAAAAAATTACTGTTGAAAGTGGATCTCTGTAGTCATCTGTAAATAATATTTTTATAAATCAGTAATTTCAAGCAGTAACAGTCATTAACAACATTGGTAATGTAATAGCTAGATTTCTAAATCAATTTAACGGCAACTTAATTAAAAAATGTATCAATGTATCAATTTCCAAACTCTAAAAATGCTAAAGTATACCAAGCAATGCGAAATAACAACATTTTGGTATATTTTCTTTAAGAAAGCACGATACAAGCATTTTTTGTGTATCTACCATAGATTTTAATGACCATGCTTCAAAGAGAACTGTATTTTTAGTCCTCTACAAGGTGTCCCTAAAGTCTGGACACATAGGAAATATCACTATACAGTTGCAAGAAAAAGTATGTGAACCCCTTGGGATTACGTGGAGTTTTGCATGAATTGGGCATAAAATGTGCTCTGAACGTCATCTAAGTCACAACAACAGAAGAACACAGTCTGCTGAACATAATACTACACAAACAATAGATGTTGCCATGGTTTAATTGCACATAACATGTAAACATTCACAGTGCAGGGAGGAAAAAGTATGTGAGGCCCTAGCTTAATGACTTCTCCCAGAGCTAATTGGAGCCAGGAGTGAGCCAACCTTGACTCCAATCAGTGTGATGATATTGGATGTGTTTCTGACAGCTGTCCTGCCCTTAAAAAACACACACCTGTTTTGGGTTTACTGGTATGAAGAAGCACTGTCTGATGTGAACCATGCCTCGCAGAAAAGAGCTCTCAGAAGACCTACGATGAATTGTTGACTTGCATGAAGCTGAAAGGGTTACAAAAGTATCTCCAAAAGCCTTGATGTTCATGTGTCCACGGTAAGACAGACTGTCTACAAATGGAGAAAGTTTAGCACTGTTGCTACTCTCCCTAGGCGTGGTCGTCCTGTAAAAATGACTGCAAGAGCACAGCGCAGAATGCTGCATGAGGTAAAGAAGAATCCCAGAGTGTCAGCTAAAGACCTACAGAAATCTCTGGCACATGCTAACATTTTTGTTGACACATCTACAATAAGGAAAACATTAAACAAGAATGGAGTACATGGGAGGACACCACGGAGGAAGCCATTGCTGTCCAAAAGGAATATTGCAGCACGTTTGAAGTTTGCAAAAGAGCACCTGGATGTTCCACAGCACTACTGGCAAAATATACTGTGGACAGATGAAACCAAGATTGAGTTGTTTGGGAAGAACACACAACACTATGTGTGGAGAAAAAAAGGCACAGCACATCAACATTAAAACCTCATCCCCACTGTAAAACATGGCGGAGGGAGCATCATGGTTTGGGGCTGCTTTGCTGCCTCAGGGCCTGGACGGATTGTTGTCATTGATGGGAAAATGAATTCCAGAGTTTATCAAGACATTTTGCAGGAAAACGTACGACCATCTGTCCGCCAACTGAAGCTCCGCAGAGGATGGGTGATGCAACAGGACAATGACCCAAAGCATACAAGTAATTCAACAAAACAATGGCTGCAACAGCACAGAATACGTCTTCTGGAGTGGCCCAGTCAGAGTCCTGACCTCAACTCGATTGAAATGCTGTGGCATGACCTTAAGAGAGCGATTCACACCAGACATCCCAAGAATATTGCTACACTGAAACAGTTTTGTGAAGAGGATTGGTCCAAAATTACTCCAGATCGTTGTGCAGGTCTGATCTGCGACTACAGGAAACGTTTGGTTGAGGTTATTGCTGCCAAAGGAGGGTCAACCAGTTATTAAGTCCAAAGGTTCACATACTTTTTCCTCCCTGCACTGTGAATGTTTACATGTTATGTGCAATTAAACCATGGCAACATCTAATGTTTGTGTGTATTATGTTCAGCAGACTGTGTTCTTCTATTGTTGTGAGTTAGATGACGTTCAGAGCACATTTTATGCCCAATTCATGCAAAACTCCACGTAATCCCAAGGGGTTCACATACTTTTTCTTGCAACTGTATGTGTGTGTATATGTGTGTAAAATATGTTACTCTATACACTCACCAGACCTTACCCCCTTAACTTCTTTTTTTAGGATATGCTAAAGGAGAAGGTGTCCTCCACGAAAATCACAGATATGAATCACCTGAAGGAAAGCATCATGAACAAATGTGCTCAAATTTATAGAAATGTGGACTTACTGCATTGGGTTCATGTGAATCAAAGCACATGGAAGTTTACATAACAAATGGTGGAAATCACATTGAAGATGTTAATGATTAATATTTCAATGAAATAAAAAATGTTGAAAAAACTATTGAAATGTATTGAAAATATGCATTTGCCTTTGTGTCCAAACTTTAAGGACACCCTGTAGTTCCAGCAATGCCCAAACCTCTCAATCTTATAACTATCTTTGGTACTCCATGATCCCTGCTGTACAGCCTGCTCGGAGATTCAAAGCCCTGTCTCTGATATTTCTGCCTCTGCCCATTAATTCCTATAGAAAGGCCATCCACTGCTGGGGCAACTAATACATTGCCTTTTGATATGAAAAAAACAGATTCACAAAGCACTGCTCTGCTAGAGGAAAAGGCTGTGTGGCTCCAAGCAGTCCACACATCGAAAATATTCTGGGAACAGAGATAGAGATAAGATTTGGGAAATGCTAAGGGCACATTTACAGCATAACTGCACCAGCAACTATTCTATCAGAAAACACTGTAGTGTGATATTCATGGAAAATCTAAGTAACGTTATCTACGGGTTCAGGGCAAAAACCTCTAACAGCACATATTCACCTTTTCTTTGCTCCCTCACACCATCCAACTGCATGGACAAAGCACATTAGTTTTAAAGAATATATAAACCCAACATTTTATATTCCTGATATGTGCCTGCCGTACCATGTACTTGGATAAAAAGGTTTCCTGTTCTGTTTGTATTGTTTCCTTTCTGTGAAATCCCTGGTGTTCTTGCCAGTCCCTCTGTTTTCCTGTTAAAAACTGACCACACTAAGCAGGGTAGTACAGTGTGGTCAATTTGTTGGCTGTGCTGTTAACTCTTCCAATGATCAAACTTCTGCTGGCAGGCCCCCCCCCCCCCCCCCCCCTCCACACACACATCCTTTCACTGGGAAGGAAAGTGTGCTGCTGTTTCTTTTCCCCTAGCCACTTATGCAGTTTAGAACAGAGGGCATGTGATCACTTATAACAAAACGAAAAAAAGCTATTTATAATGTTTTTCTATACAGTATCTATACACAAATGTTGTACCTTTAATTTCTATTGTAAACTGAATAAGTTGTTTTAGGTGAAGGTTTACATATACTTTAAGGTTTGCTTTTATAATTACTAATTTGGTATAAAGGTAGGGAGGAGAAAGACCTTTTGCCCATTTTCACAATGAAAGTGCCGTTGTACTTTGAAAGATAACTAAATATATATTTCTTACCTGTGAGCTTTCTTTTCCTGGCATTGCTAGTAAACAATTCTCATTATTTAAAAATGAGCACTTGCAAAAACCAACACTATCCACAGCAATAGAGTCAGTAACTTCATTCCTTCCTTCTGCCAAATTCCAAGTGTGTATCTGCAGATCACGACCCTGGCTGAGAGAGAAGGAGGAAATTATTAATGAACTGACTGTATTATGATTATTTGCTGGAAAATTCTTGTCCAGCGTTACACGATTTAGAATTGACAACAGAAAACCCATATACTTCGTATTTAGTGGTATGCCTGCTAAATCAATTACATGGATGATTAGGATTCAAATATTATGTTTTACACATACTGTAAATGGCAGATATCAAGAGGAAGTGTTCTGGATAACACTCCCATTGCTACTGTCTGTCACATAACTAAATCTAAGACAGGTTGTTTTTATTGATACCCAAAACCTAACTTAATGTCTGTTGTTTTACTATATATTTGTACTCTTCATATTATAACAAAACAGCACCAATAGTAGAACCATATACTCTATAAGAGTAGAAATTCCACTACTACAGTCTTTCTGCTTGCTAACTTATTTTAATATTACCCACTTAAGGACCAGGCTTTTTCTGGTACTTTTTGTTCACATGTAACAATAATTTGTTTTTGCTAGAAAACAACTTAGAACCCCCAAACTTTATATATTGTTTTCAAGCAGAGGCCCTAGAGAATAAATTGGTGGATTTTGCAATTTTTTTAATCACACGGTATTTGAGCAGCAGTTTTTCAAACACAATTTTTTTGGGGAAAAAATACACTTTTTTGAAATATAATGCACAAAAAATACATAACCCATTTTTGTTTTGTAAAATAAAAGATAATGTTACGAGTAAATAGATACCAAACTTTTCACACTTTAAAATTGTGCACGCCCGTGTAATTGCGACAAACTATGTACATTTTACTATCCATAAGTGACGCTTTAAAAGCATTTGCAGGTTACCACTTTAGATGTACAGAGGAGGTCTGGTACTAGAATCACTGCCCATGATCTGACGTTTGTGGTGATACCTTACATGTGTGGGACAATCGCTGTTTGCGTGAGTGCGGGACCGAATTGTGCGTTCGCCTTTGCCTTTGGTGTGTGGGCATGGCAATTTTTTTTTTTACACTGTCATTTGCAAAATAAAATTGTATCACTTTTATTACTGTCACAAATAATGTAAACATCCCTTGTGACAGCAATTGGTCTGTGACAGGTACTCTTTATGGAGGTATCTGGGGTAAAAAAGACCTAAAATCCCTCTTCTGCCCTTAAAAGCATTCAATCACAAGATCGGTGTGACTTAATGCTTTTATTTTATAAAAATGGTGCAACAGAGCAGAACAAAGCCAATCCGGTCTTTCTCCGGCTCCATGACCATCTGATGGCAGCACCAGCTGGTCGAGCAAGACTCCCGGTGGAACGGGAGATCCTGTGACAGCTGTGGAAGGCGAGTGGAGAGGGACATCCCCTCCCGCTGCTTGTAATAGCGATTGAGCGGCTAGAAAGAAAGCCGACCATCAGCTGCAATTAATGGTACTGACTTTAATGTAGAGTTCCACCACAATTTCAAACCAGCAGCTGGCTCAGACTCTCAGCATGCCCTGGAGAGCATGGTCCAGCTGCTCCTGCCATCTTCACAGCCCTGTGCTCCAGTAAGGGCTGGAGTGGTAGAGCAGAGAGCCGGTGACTGAGAGTCACCGGCTCTCTGCTCACTGAATACAAAGAACTGAGCGATCTGCAGTCTTTGGTCTCTCAGTTCTCGGTTTTGAGGTAGTGGGGACCAATGCTGCCTTCCACTGGGGTCAGTATGACTTTGTTTTTATTTCCCAAACATTTCTTCTAAAATACATCTAAAGGCTCTGGTTTAGCAGTCCAAACAAGTCTCAGATTAACTTACTATGTAATGCAACAGCCTCACAATTAAAAAAATATACCTCCCTTTAGTCAGACACTCCCTTCTTTATTTGTGACCCACATTCCCCCGCCTCCCTGACACCTCCGATTACCACACTCAGTTCTGCCAAGCAGAAAGCAGTGAGAAGGATTAGATGTGGCCAAGTGCTACGTCACAAGCTATAGGTTTGAGAATTAGCAGCAACAAGGCTCATATCCATGACCCTGCAACCTTTTCTCATCCCACTGTAGTGCTAGCAGTCACAGGCTATGGTAAAGACAATGCTGCTTTAAAGTGGTTGTAAAGGCTCAAGGTTTTTTACTTTCATGCATTCTAAAAAACCTTCTGTGTACAGCATCATCCCCCAGCCCCCATACTTACCTAAACCACCTCTTGATCAAATGAAGTCCACGAGAGCCTTGGCTCTCTGGGGACTCTCCCTCCTGATTGGCTGAGACAGCAGCCATTGGCTCCTGCTGCTAGCAATCACAGCCAGTGAGCTTATCAGGAAAGAGAGGGGGCTGGGCTCTGTATGTGAATGGTCATGGCTTGGCTGCCCCCAGAGCAAGCTGCTTACTCTGGTACACTCAGCAGAAGGGAGGGGCCAGGAGCACTGCTGGGGGACCTGAGAAGAGAAGGATCGGGGCTGCTCTGTGCAAAACCACTGCACAGAGCAGGTAAGTATAACATGTTTGTTGTTTTTTTAAAAAACAAACACAAAAACCCCAAGATTTTATTATAATTTTAAATTCAGTAGCAGCGTGTTGTCCCCCTGTCAGAGGAAGCTGGATGAAGTGTCTTCATTTGGGAGCCCACTTCTTCATCTTGGAGACACAAAAGGATGACAGCTGAATGGTCAGCAGAGTAAAACAAATCGCACTTTAGTCAATTGCCACAGGAACAGATGTCCTTACCTGTAGATTTTCCTTCACATCCTGTCCAGGTGACAACTGTGAATTTTCCCCTCGCTTTTTGTCCTGGTGACAACAGACATCAGCACAGAAAGCCAGAATGAATCTCCTCACCAGGGGAGACAACAAAAATCACATAGACGTTCTAACCCTTCTAAGCTCAAAAATAGTAAAAATGGCTACAGATTCACTTTAACAGTCCTGATAAACTAACAGGACAAGAGAAAAATAATATACAGTTATAAAAAAAAAATGACATGTCCACCAACAATCACTTGGATCATTGGTATTCAAATACCACACTACCAGCACTGAGTTAATTTATCACCAATGTGTAAAACTGCTGAATAAGCATAGTTGACAGAAGATTCGTTGTTCGTGAAGAGTAATCTCTGCTACCATACGGACCATTAAACTAACATGATATTACAGAGGGGATATGATTTTGGTTGAAAGACAAATTGGGATCAGTGTCCATACTGTTAGGAGATGGTTTGGCACTGCCTCTTTCTAGAAATGTTGTTCCATTAAAGTACTATTAAGATTAATATATAATAATGACACCCTGAAAAAGCATTTCCACAAATGGAAAGACACTAGGTTACAGCAGATAAGTTTCCGTGAAAAGTAATAACTTATTAATTGCCTTCAGGGTAAAATTACAAGAAATTGCAAGTACAGTTCACTTCTAGCCAACAGTTTTCATAAATCTGATCCAATGATTTGATGAAAGATAAAATGTAATGGTGGTTCTGCCCTAGACCAATTAGTTGGTTAAAGAGCCATGCAACAAAAAAAAAAAAAAAAAAAAATCTAACAATCCAAGAGACACACAAGTGTTGCAGTAACTTCCCCAACAATAGTCTTTAAAACAAAAACCAATAACTTTAAAACAAACAGTTTATGCCTTACCTTAACAATGAATAAAATAATGTAATGCTGCATATTTTTGCCAGTGTTCTTTCCTCAAAGAGCTGATTAAATCTTGTGATGTGATCCCTGCTAATGACTTTCAGGACACAATATTATATTATAGACTGCATGTGTACCTCATCCCTGATAAGCAATTCAAAGAAAGAAAAAAGAAACACGATGGGACTTTACTGGTGCAGTAGCGGATAGACTTGTATACATAAATGTACATATTTATTTGAAATACATCTTGCAATGACATTGCAATGGCGCCATTGGAAAGCACATACGGCGGGTGGACTTTGATATTTTATTTTATTTATTTCAGGTACTTATATAGCACCGTCAATTTACGCAGCGCTTTACATATATATTGTACATTCACATCAGTCCCTAACCCTCAAGGGGCGTACAATCTAAGGTCCCTAATTCATATTCATATACAAGGGCCAATTTAGACAGGATCCAAGTAACCTACCAGCATGTCTTTGGAGTGTGTGAGGAAACCGGAGTACCCAGAGGAAACCCACGCAGGTACAGGGAGAACATGCAAATTCCAGGCAGGAGGTACCATGGCTGGAATTCGAACCGACGTCCCTAGTACTGCCAGGCGGAAGTGCTAACCATTTAGCCACTGTGCTGCCCATGGAGTAATCTAGAGGAGCCACTGATTTGAAAGACATCTTGTATTGTTATATATGGTCATTTAAAGGAGCGGGTTTACATCACGCAATACTGAGGTCTGGCATTGGATCTTCCATGCACCCTCTATTGTTATACTGAGAGTATTAGATTATAGCTTGGAACATATCTATGGAATTTATCTTGTATGGATGAATCCACATATAAATATATCCGCTACTTGTCTTCTAACTAAGACACCATCTGATTGGGAACGTTATGAGGGGCTTTGGATCTGGATGCTCACTCGAGACTATTTTGTTAACTTCCTGTGTGGGTGCTGTTGCCCCACATCACCGCCTATGCTGATATCTAAGGCATTTGATCTCTTCGCCTCCAATCTCTGGATCCTGAAGAAGCTAACAAGCAAAACGTGTCGACCTTTGGAGAATATTATGCTATAGGAGATTATTCCGTTATGGTTTGAGCTGGTTAGCCATGTATTGTTTTTATACAATGTCATTGCAAGATTTTCAAGATGTATTTCAAATAAATATGTAAATTTTCTTTCTTTCTTTCTTGTATAGACACAGTACAGTCTGTCCACCAACTGCAATACAATCTAAACATTAAAGGAGTCGATTTACTAAAGGCAAATAGGCTGTTTTGCAAGGGCATTTCCACTTTCTTTTTACCTTTGCTTTGAAAATTCTTTCTGCAAGAAAAAAAAGGGAAAATTATCTTGCAAAGACACAGTACAGTTATACTTTAGTAAAAAGAAAGTTTCATTTTCCAACATGCAATATAAATAAAAGCAATCTAAACTAACATTTTAAACCTTCGGAGTTGATTTACTAAAAAGGGTAATGCAAATAGGCTGTCCATATTACTTTGCAAGGGACATTTCCACTTTACAAGTGAATTGTTTACCTTTCTCGCTTAGTGACGAGGTGAAAATTCACTTTGCAAAATTATACCCAATCAGTGCAACATTTGAAAAAAAAATCCTAAATTATCTTGCAAAGTGAAATACAGTAGTAAATGGCCCACAATTTAATAAATCAACCCCAGGTATATTGAAAACGTCAGTAAGAACCAAAGAAGTGATCCCATTCCAGATGCTGGTGTGGTTACAAACATAAAGCTCACACAAGAGAAGAGGTGATTTCTCTTCACAGGAAGGGCATGGCTCTCTGGCCAGATCCAAGCAAACGTAGCTCTCTGAAATAAAATCTGCAAAGATGTTAAACTATTACCAAGAGACACCTTAGCCTACCGGAATAAACTAGAGCACAATTTAAACTTCTTTACATCACTACAGCTTCCAAACAGGTGATTTCTGTCTCCAAAAGCTTGGAGCAGTACACCCAGCCTATAAAAGTTTGGGATAGTGTTGAAATGAAACAAAAGGGGCCCATAATGGAGGAGGAGCTAGGCCTGATTCACAGCAAGATAAAGGCTACCATATTATATTGCATTTTTGCTAAACTGCCTAAAAAAGCTGACGTGTGCCATTGGGTTATTGAGAAACGTGTTGCAGTCCCCCCTGAAACTTTGACCAGTCACTTCATTGGAACAATGATCCCAAGCATACTCCAGTCCACTAGACCCATTGCACTAAAGGCTGGAACAGAGTGGCCATAGCAGTCACCAGACTTAAATCCGATGAGAACCTCTGGTGGGAGTCTTAAAGAAAGCATGCAGTGCGCAAGCCTAAGATATGTGACTGAACGGAGGCTTTTGGAAGATGGGCGAGTGACCCGTAGATCGCTCAAGACACCCCCCAAGCTCTTCCAAGCTGTTATAACTTAAAAGGATTCTTTCTAAGTACTAATTTGATAATTTGTGAGCACAGAAAAGACATTTGTGGTTATTTCATTATAAACTGTTATGTTATATTTGTGACCTACAAGTGCCTCTATGTAAATGTACACTGAATGATCAAAAGCAATACAGAAACACTAATTTCATTGGTGTTTTTGGTCACAACTGTATGTATAGTCATATGTACATGACTATATACTGTATATGTGGAATGACTCCGACACCCCCCTGTCCCTTTCTTCTAATTTTTTAGCATGGTAATTTTGTCTACTCTAATACAGAATAGTTATTGGTGTTTCACGAATCTGGAAGGTCCCCACTTTTTTTTAATGTACTTTGATTGCTCGTTCCAAGCACATACTGGTTGAATGTCTTTGTGATGGCTAGTTTGCAATTCTTGGAACATCTTAACTTTTATGTTGTGATCAGAGTGTACAACATAATACAGTTTTTGTACACTTCCTTTCTATTTCAATAAACATATTGGACAAGAAGAATCAAAGAAGACCCATAACTCAAGAACTTAGTATACATCAGGCAAAAATATGTATACCTGGACCTGTGAACAAATAGGGTACTTTCTGAAATATACATACCCTGGAACAGTGTTTCCTCATTTAGAGAACCAGTGCGTAGCTACAGATATGGCAAAACCAGCAGCATGTAGTTGAGCCTTGTCTTATGCTTCCAAAAAATTTAATCAAATGAATGTAATACAAAGTCCAATTGTTCACTTAGCTTTGAGGAGGTTGTGTTTTCTATCTCATTGATCTGTTGCTCTAGAATATGTCAGGTGAAGTTATACATTAATTGGGCATCCAAGTCTGTGGTTTTCAGGAACCTGTGGCTGTCAGGAACCAATGTTTACCAAAATTGGCCAGGTATACTAGGACTATAAAAGGAATATGTTTCATTGTCTCTCACTGAAAAATAAAGTAATGATGGTAAAATTCTGACTAATGTGCTACTTAAACTATTTTTAAAGCAAGGAAGATTTAGAAAAGCTGAGCACATTGTAAGCTATCAGCTTACATTTTCGCATGGTTTGGACTCCACTTTCTGTACACCACAAGTAAATAAGTGCTTCTGAGAGAGACTTTTTAAAAATATAAAATAAAATGTTATACTAGGCAATTCATTTTTCAGGTTGCTTCAGTTGATCTATATGTTTAATGTAAAGCGAAAGTACAGGAAAAACGTAAAACACAGTTTAAATGGGCAAAGGATTTCTAATTCTGTTCAGCCAATCTGTGATCTGGGCATCCCTACCAGACATAACAGGCAGCTACATCCCCTCTGCAGCAGACAGCTTGGTCAAGAAAACACCCCTGCCAGTGATTGGACAATAAATCAGCAGCAGCACACTCATGAGGTCATCCCTTTGTTCATTATGATTTGGACAGCACATAGCATAACTGGCTACTATTGCTGCTCCCCCCCTCTATTTCTCTCTACTCAAAAGAGCAGTTAGTCTAATCCCCTTGAAGTACATTTTTATATTACTGGAGAGTATAATGGGACTTTCTTTCTCATTGCACTTTTCTTCAAGTAGTGCACAACAATAATGGTCCAAAAAAAAAAAAAACAGTGAATGCCCCCAGACCCTGACTTTGTTTGAAAGTAGAACACCTGAGTATTTTTTAAAATAACATCTTATTCTACAAAACCACTGAGTTAGCCTTTAAACAGATGTAGATACAATTATAAAATTGCATCATTATCTCTATATATGTTAGGAGCGGTGTAATGTGATATACTGCATTGCAATATGTAATATTTCCCAAGATAACTGGCATAATAGGTAGCAGCTCATTGGCAAAATATACAGAAGTTTATGCCAAGTAATTACAACAGTAGCGAGACAGCCATCCTAGACTGTATCTACCCTGGCTCCAAAAAACTATAAGGCGGCCACCAGGAGCTTACTCATAATTATCTGGCCATTTCTTGCCAGCACACTGGGAGTTATCTATAAATACTAAATACCAGAACACAAAATACTATTATACAAGGTGCATACAAGAATAATTTCAAAACTTTCGATCATAAAATGGTCCACAAGAAGGTTATCTCTCAAATAAAAATTGAGCAAAATTAGAAATATTTACTTAAATAGGTTGTCATATCCTGTAAAAGAATATTGATTCCATGAATTTAACATGACTACCATAAGGCAAACAAGTGCTCCAAGTGGTCTCTAAGTATGCTGGCACTGTTAATGATACTGATTGTTGCAACCTTTATGCTTTCCAGATGGACGTTTGAAAAATGCAAACCTCTTTTTAATGCCCTGCAGTTTTCACTGCCTAAGAACACATACATACACCCAATATACAGTATAAATGTTCAAACTTGTAATATGCTCCTACTAGCAATATTGTTAATAATAAAGTCTTGCATATGCAGACCCAGAATGCCACTTGATACACACATAGGGGTTTGTTTACTAAAGGCAAATACAGTGTTCACTTTGCAAAGACTACCCAATCACATGCAAAGAAAAAAAATATATATATTTGCTTGCACATGATTTGATGATGGAAGTCAGCAGTGTTTCACCTCATTCACAAAGCTCTGTAAAAATTCCCTTGCAAAGTGAGAATTCTATTTGCCTTTAGTAAATCAACCCCATAGTTTTCAATCACCTAGCTATTACATCATACACTAAGGTACAGGTTCAGAAATGCTCGCAATGTGAACTGATTTTAATAAATAAAATACAGAAAAACGAAATTGCACTCACATACATGCTTACCATCAGGAATATAGACATAAGCCAAACCGCATACTTTGTCCTCAGCTTGGTTGTCAGTATAAACCACAGCCCAGAGTCTGTGCAAGAAAGTTCTGACAGGTTGCAGGTCTAAATACTCCATTTATTAGCCCCAGTTCACTAGAAAACAGAATTCTGTTTTGAAACTATGGCAGAAAAAGGGGGCATGACCTGGGACAAGGTATTCTCAATTCCATCAATCACGGCTAAGTACCTTGATACGGGAGAATTGGAAATTATCTTTAAGTAGGAAATCACAGTCCTAATTTTCTGGTGGTAAATGTGAAGGATTTAGTCATGTGCGTAATTGTTGCTATGGTGGAAATGGGGCTCAGAAACCAAACCTTTTTTCATTTTGTGAATGTGCATGTAAATGTTAACCATTGCAGAATGGTGGATTCACTCTGGAGTCTTGCACTGCTTGCACCCTGTTAGATTTGGGTGAAAAAAAAAAAAAAAAACACCGAAAAAACCCCCCAGAAATCTAAAGAATTGTTTACACAGTCTATAACAAGAAAATATTTATAAACCTATCTTCCTTGTTTACATGAATGTTTTTTAAACAATCTATGGCATACCCTAGAGGAAGGAATTATCCAAACAGAATTATGAACAGTAGTGAAGAAACAGTACCTATAGTTGCCAGAAAAAGGAAAAATGGGTTGTAGGGTTTTATTACCTCATCAGACAGTCTTTGCTGGGAAGAGTATGAATCCAGTAAACTGATTTGCCATCATGTCCATTTAGTACAGCGTCTGTTCTTCGTGTATTTACATTCCAAACATGAATTAACCCACTGGATGACCTGGTCATAAAAATCATATCTTCAGTTAGGCATGTTTTAAATATTATAGTGGGACAAATTATACAATACGTGGTTCCTTGCCCTAAGAAAAATCACAGGCTGGGATTTTTTAGTGTTCTTAGCAAGTATCTGCACATATATGTAAATAGTATTTATCTGATTATCTGAATTTAGGAATAATGATGGATCCCAAAACTTGGGCCCTTCGCCTTTAGCTGACCCTTGGGCACAATTTATCCCACTAACACGAACAATGGGGAACTAGCCTTCTTACCGACACCAAATGACAGGGCATTATTCCTATCACTGACACCACTAATGCTATTCCTACCTCTGACATCAATGACTGAGAACTCTTCCTCCTGCTGACACCAACAATGGGGGTACTATTCCTCCACTTACATCAATGATACGTTTCCTCCCACTGACATCAATGACTGAGCACTATTCCTCCCTCTGACACAAACAATGGGGGTACTATTATTCCCACTTATACCCTTAAAACCCTGCAGTTGAGTCACGGTTTTACCACCTGCAATCCCTACCCCCTTTAGCTAGTAGAAATAAGCCCCTGTTGTTTTTAGTGGGTGCTACTGCCTGCCAATCGCAACCTATTCAAGTAAAGGGGGCCACTCTACCAGTGACCTGCTACTGCATGCTTCTGTGGGGTTCAAGAGGTTAAAGCAGGTGGTGAGAAAGCAACACAACGCAGCCTGCTTTAACCCCTTGTTTGCTGTACTGCACAAGGTTGCGGGGCATTTGCAGAGCAGCCTCTTTCACTTGAATGGTTCACTTAGCAGGTGCTACACCCACCAACCATACAGGACATATAACCCTTGCTGCGGCTGCGATATGTGTATACCCCTAGCCACTGCAGCTAAAGGGGATGCAGTTGGGGCAGGGGTGGTAAAAAAAAGCATCTTAACTATGAGGTTTTACTGCCCCCTAAACGACAAATGTAAACAAAACCTTACTGTTCTGAGCCCCCTATAAGACCCCCTTTCACACTGATGTGCTGTGGTTTACCGCCACCGTGGGTGCAGTGCACCTGCGACTTTCATGGGTTTACTGCGCTTTGCCAGTAGACTTCTATTACTGTATATCCTGCAGGTGTGGTGCACTTTCTGAAAGTGCACCAAAACTCTTGCATTCAGAAGTCTATGGCTAAACACAGTTAATCTGCTGGAAAGCTGCGGGTACACTGCACTGCAGTGCACACGCGGAGTGGGTAATCTACAGCGCATCAGTGTGAAAGCAGCCCTATACTATTATGCCCAGTGTATTGCTTTATACTGACCAGAATGTCTCTTTTTTCCTGCTGCTGGCACCACTATGGAGACCGCTAGCTGGGATAAGAGGTGGAGTGCAGCTGGTATCAGTCTGCATGGGACAGGAGCCAGCACTACAGAGGAGGCATCAGCTTATCTGGCTCTTGCTCCCTACTACAGTTTCGAACTATAAAAGTAGTCCCTCTGCATTAACTAAACAACAAATAACCCACGCTATTATATCCTCAAAAATACTGTGCATAAAACTTAAATATATAAACAATGAGAGTCTCTTCTGCTTCTGTTCGGTATATATTTGATGACAAGCAGAGTACATTGGCAGGTTAAGCCTTTTCAAATAACAGCTATAGATCCAGTGCTTTACAAGAAGGAATCCTGGAAACATCTCACCAGAGAAAAGTGTTTATTGACTCTTAAGCCCACAAAGTAGGTGTCCAACTCATCTGGTGAGTTAGGAGTGCATGAGGTAGGGGACACAGAGCACAACTGATTGACATCGCTTTGAGCCCGGGACACTGTCTTTGGAAGATATAAGCACGGAACACAGAGCACAGGGCATGTAGATTTATATTGGAATGTGCTGTGTTTTCAGTTATTAGTCTCTCTGAATTCCACTCTGTTTCATGTTCTGTGATGGCAGGTCAGCAAGCCCAGACCACAATCTACCAATTACCTGGCCACAATCTACTGGTAGATCATGATTTACGGGTTGCTTACCCCTGGAGTACAAAATACTTCCAGAAATGTCATTTTCTGCTTGTGTCAAGTCAACTTTTAGGCATCCTCTGCAACAAAAATTTTATTTTTGATGAGATACTCGGCTACGTAACTACTTGAAGATGAACTGGACACCACTCTCAAACACAGACCCCCTACATGCAATGCCCCTTGGTCTCATGGTCTCACACACTTTGTTTCAGAAGCTGCTTATATACTTTTTTGCTTTGGTATTTTTGTAAATCGCATATAAAATAACTAGAAGCAACCACTAAAAATGACATATATTTATTGAACTACTGGTAAATTTATTTTCATTTTTAAAACTTCCTGTAGGTGATTATTCAGAATCCTCCTTCTTAAAATAAATGTCCCTTCACAACAGCTTAAGTCTTTCACTGCCAGGTGCATACGGTGTACGGACCTACAACAATGCTTCCAGTTGGCCAGGTCCTTACGCCGTACGGACTTGCATTCCTCCTTCTGCTGTAGGGCTCATGGTGACCATGAATTTAAATCAGAACTGTTCATCAGACTCTGCTGAACAAACCAATAGTCCCTGATCAGCGGATGAGAATCTACTGATCAGAACTATTGAACTAAATGTGACCCCCCACCAGGCGCTGCTGCTGCCGCCTCTGAGATTCCTCCGCCGCTTCACCCACCTCCACATACCTTGCCATGGATGAAATGGCACCCCCTGTTGCCTCTTTAAATTCCCCCTACCCTCCTGCACTGGCTCCAGCAGCACCAATACCCCCTCCCCCACCACCACCGATTCTGCTGCATTTATTGATGGTGGATTCCCTGCAGCTGCTGGCTTTAGATGCTGCAGGGGAGCCACAGCAAAATAGAATATAGAAATCCAGCAACTGGGGGCTGTTCCAACCCTCCCCCCCTCCAGTCGATCCTCCACTCACCCTATCCTGGGCACCCCCCCCATGTTGTTCTGCTAGCTGGCTCTCCCTCCTCTCCCTCCCGCTGGTTGCAGCTTCTGCTGGGGAAACCAAAGATGTCAGGGTGGAGAGCGGTGTGTACGGTGGAAGGGGGGGTTAGTAAACGTGTTTACCAGCCCCCTTCCTTTCCTTGAATGGACATAGTGAGCAGTCAGTACTGAAAAAATGGAAAAAACAGTGCCCATTCATCACTGGAGAACAAAAAAGATGGTCCCACCTGAGTTTAAAAGTGGAGCTCAGGGCCTGGCAATGAAAGGGTTAAAAAAACAAAATCAAACAGGGCATAAAAGCAAACATTTATTATACCTGCACAAATGATTAATTCCTAGATGCGATGCAGCTGCATTAGTTTTCTTTTTTTCTGCACTTTCTTCCTTCTATTTTGACCTAGTGACCTGTGCCAGTACGTCTGCTGTTTTTTCAGAACAAGCTCTCTTCCAGATGTATCAGTAACAGATGATGAGACAAACAATTCAACACTGGCAGGGTTACTTACAATGTTCACTTTTACTTATGTAAAACCTTTATCCCAAATGGGGAAAAAACTGTTTGCTGTAACTATTTATAAAATGTTAGCTGGAATTTGGCTTCAGTTTGGTAGTGTATCTAAATCTGCTAATACATCTAACACTTCCCCTCCCCCAGGCTAACAATGCTGCTATCCAAATGTGCCCTGTGGTCCTCCAGCCAGAGAGGGGAAACTCTATACTATAAGAGGTGTTTCACTGTCCAGATCACCAAGTGAAAACACAGGTGAAAAAAGCATAAAAAAAAATAAAACTAATGCAGTCACCATGTTTGGTGAGCTGCAATACATTAAAATTTTTGGTCTTAGGATTTAATACCGCTTACAGTAGTTGCAAACCTTTAACATGAAAAATGAATAAAGTATGCTTCACTGAATAGGGTATACCAGTTTATGGAGAGCTCTATAGACAACTTTACCCTTAGGACAAATTTATCATGTCAAAGAGAGACATTTATAATGAAGAGCAGAGGTTGCTATCCGCTATATATTTCAATGTTTAGTTTAAACTTGGGCTTGCATTTTATGTATTTTTTTTATTCATTAAAAAAACTGCAAACCAGTTTGTGTGATCCTGTGGGGTCTCACAGAGTTCTCTCTGCTTAAAGGTTATCTAAATCCCCCCCAAAATTATTCATATATTGCAGCTTAACCAATTCTTAGATGTGGTGGCTGCATTTGTTTTCTATGTTTTCAACTTCTTTAAGCAGACCAAGCTGTCCATCAAAAGTGTCAGTTAGAGGGAAGGAAAAAAAAAGCTGTTATTATTGGGGGTTGGGCTTTAACTTGTTAGTCACCTATGAAATGCCCATTTAAATCTACTAGTCCATCTAAAAAATGTTCTCCACAGACTGAAAATTCTGCTGTCCGGGGTGGCCAAAATGCATTCCAAACACACTGAAAAAACATGCGGACATGCATATGTAGAAATGCACAGTGCAGAGATTGCTGTATAAATGAGAACTTAGTAGCACAATGGTCTTGGTAAGGCCATTCCCCCCAACAGTCATGACAGATATGTTCAATCACCTAGTGCATCACAATTACACGTTCCAGCACAGAACTGTCAATTTATTACTGGACATTCACATGTCTCAGTAACTACTTAAGAAATACATATTTTTAGACATAGTTGTTTCTTAGTGTATTCTAAACTGCCTCACTACCGAGTACTCATTTTCTTCAGGCAATGTCAATTACATTACATTACATTTCCTCCTCATGCCCATGAGTGCTGTAAAAGGGAACGTCTCGTTCACGTGTCCATAACATCAACACTAGCCAGGGTGGATAAAAAATCAATGATTGTTTTAAAAAAATAAAAAAAAAAAAACGGATTTTTTTTATTTAAATCTGATTTTTTTTTAAATAAAATGGTTTTTTAGGAAGATATATTACCATCCAAAGGTTATTCCATCATGAAAAATAAAGATTAGTTTTTTAATTATGTAGGAATAAGGCTGTATTAGGTTTAATTTTTTTGGTAAATAAATTCCATTAATGAAGAGCACAATGTCATCCGCTCTTCCAGAGGTTTTTTGTAAGATTATTGGGCAGTTTCTCTGCCTACAAGATATTATCACAGATGCTTGGTTTACTTTGTGCAGTTCTCAAAACTGAATTCTCTGACTCAGCAGAGATCACATGCCCTTCTTCACAGCAAAATGTTCATATACATGAACAGATTTAAGAAAAAGACCTTAATCCTAACTTCTACAAACCTATGAATACAGAATCAACCCCTTCAGTGCTAAGTTTCAAGAAGTTCAGTGAAAGAATAGAAACAATATTTTTCTGATTGTTTGGAGTGGAATAGATCTGCACAAGACGAAAGTGAAACTAAGTGTGAGGAGGAGGAAATATTATATAATTTTGTTTAGGGGTGGCCAAATTAGTTAAAACATGGATGTTTGTTTAATGCAAATAACATATGCTGTAATGTTATTGTTTCAGTTGAATAAATCTATTTAAATTGTGTATTATTAAACTAATGATTATTTTTTTCCTTCCTAAGTACAACATGAAAATTGTTCAAATATAATGCATTAACCTATTAAAACTGGAGATAAAAAAACTAACTATGAAAAGTTGTTATTCTAAAATCTTCATCTAATTGCATATTAAAGTTTTATACAGCAAGTTTCTTAATTAGTCTTTATGTAGAAAACTAGGATTTAAATCAAGCCTTTTCTGACTAGTGATTTCAATTACATTTACATTAATTTCCTCCTCATCGTGATGCTTAAATCAGTGATATAACATCAACCACCCTGACACTAGCTAAAAGAGAATCCCAGTCAGTAATAAAAAAAGAGTGATCTTATATAACTAAACCATAGCAACTTGGTATTTCCTTCTGCTAAATACAGTACATAGACCACCGAGGTATAGGAGGCTGAAAACCCATGAAACTCAATGCCTTTTCTGCCACACAGTACATCCACAAATAAACTGCAGACAGAGATCAGTAACTATTCATACAGCTTATTTAACCTGCAGTATTTGCTGTAAGACTGTACTTTGCTCCAGTATGACTAAAGATTCATGCACAGAGCCATAAGGGGGCTGTACAGCATGCAAGAGCACACAGAACCTATGAAAAATCTACCCCCGGATCTACAGCTGCTGTGTACAGCCACTAAGTTCCAGGATGCAGCTGTACATGGGTATGTGTTGGCACTTGCGTAAACACACAAATGAGTGCTTAGGGTTGTATGCACTGTTAATTCTGATGCCAAAATTCAATTTAGCCATAGTCCTTTGACTAAAATGCCATTTTAGTTTTAGTCGTATTTTAGTCACCTGAATTGTTTTAGTTGTGTTTTAGTCAACTAAAATCTCAAGTACTCTTTTGGCAAACTGTATTGGCTGAGAGATGCAGGCTCCCTCTGTTTGCCTGATGCCTGGGAGTTCTGGAATAATACCCTGCAAACCACAAAAGAGGAACTGCTCCATTGGACTTGTGTCTATCTGGATGTGACGTGGTGAGTGTTTTATCTCCCAGCAAAGTAGCAGTGCTTAGCAGTGTTTAAAATAACAGCCTCCCTAGACCAACCAGTACTCTGCCCTGTGCACTCCCTCACTCCCATTTACTTCCCCATCCCCAAAGTATAATGCACCCTACCCTGTGCCCTCCCTCACTCCCATTTACTTCCCCATCCTCACTTGCAGGTTTCCTAACATCCCTAAAGTATAATGCATCCTGCCCTGTGCAATCTCTCACTCCCATTTATTCCCCCATTCCCACTTGCAGCCTGGCATTACAGCAAATAGAGTTGACAAAGTTCTTTGACAGTTTTTTTTTTTTAATATTTTAAAGTTACATTTCTGTTTGTCAAACAGCAATATTTCTGTTTTTTTATGAAACTTGTTTTTATTTATAAAGACAGTTTTTATTAAAATGGCTACATTTGTGGGCTGTAGTGCATGTTCAAACTTTAATATCATAAATAAAACATGTTTTTAAATTTTACAGCAGGAGTATATACTGAGTTTGGAAATTCTAGAGAAATGCTCAAATAATGCACTACAATTTAACTAAACCCATTAGATTTTAGTCAACTAACTGAAAACTTAAATAGATTTTTATCATAGTTTTCATCAATTGACTTAATTCTAATTTTATTTTCATTTAGTTTTTCTCTTTGAAAACATGCAGCTGATGAAACCTATGAGAAAATAAATATCTTTGTCAGCGAAATTAACACTGGTTGTATGTCTCTATGTGTATTTATGCAAGTGCCGAGATGCCAGCATATAGCAGGTTCTGCTCTTGCACACTGTACAGTCCACTTGTGGCCATGTGCATGAGCTCTAATGAGTACCATGTCTAAATGGATTCATACTATGATACACATTCTACTCAGCACTGTCCTTGGAAACGGTTTAAGTGCTCGGACACATCAAGTTTGACTTTGAAATCGTGCAGCTTCCTTTGAAGTCACATAATTTCAAAGTCGGATGTCAGTGGGACTTCAGGTGCGACTTGAAAGACATCTGTGGGACTTCATGCACAAGTATCTATGCAAATCGCATCTGAATTTGCAAAAAGTAGTGCATGCACTACATTCAAAATCGGTTGCGACTCAAAGTCGGAATTGCACTGATATGACTGCTTCAATTACAGACAATAGGGTGAAACTTGTCATTCGATTTGACAGTATCAAAGTGTATGACAAGTCGCACCAGTATGACCGGGGTCTTAAAATGGAACAAAACTCTTCTATCATTTACAGCTACAGAAACTGACATATTGGCCTCTGTTTGATCTGCAGTTAGCATGATGTTACACATGTGATCAGTTATGACAAACAGTCATTTGAAGGCTTGATAGATCAATTGAGAGCACAAGCATCCATGACAGCTATCATTCACAGCATGCTTAGAAGGTAACTGCTTTGGGAATTAACCTGTTGAGTTTGTTCCACTTTAAAAAATCTGACAATGCAGTATACCTGTGTATACATTTAGGAATAACAGTGAATAATAACATAGACCATATATACATATTATATGAAACTTACCCAGAGAAAAGAAGGGGTGGACATGCTTTATGAACTCTGCAGTGAAAGTGAAGGCTATTGACTTCTGCACCAATTCCTCGAAGGTCAAATTTTGGATCCAGTGGAGTCATTATAAATACTAAATTCTACCTAATAATACATATAAAAAAGGTAAGTGCTGTTTGTATCACATGTCATACATTCCACATGCATGAGATATATATATGTATAAACGTTTAATTGATTTGCTGGATAGCATTGCTGGATTCAGATATCAGGTGCCTAATAGTGGTGTTAAAGGCTCTGCTTTTAAAAAAAAAAAAAAAAAAAAGAAAAGAAAAAAAAACGTTATACTTATCTGCTCTGCGCAATGGTTTTTCACAGAGCAGTCATGATTGTCTTCTTCTCGGGTCCCCCACTGATCTTGGCTCCTCCCCCTTGACCAGTGCCCCCAATAGAAAGCCGCTTGCTATGGGGGCACTGCTGTGTGCTCGTTCCCAATCCCAGCTCTATGCGTCCATAAGACATATAGAGCAGCGGCTTGGCCCCACCCCCTGCTCTCTCCTAATTGGCTCACTGGCTGTGATTGACAGCTGTGGGAGCCAATGACCAGCTGAGGCTCCTGTGCACATTGCTGGATTAAAAGGGGGCTCAGGTGAGTATGGTGGGGTGCTGAAGGGGGAGCTGCACACAGGTTTTTTTACCTTCAGCCTTCACAAACACTTAAAGGCTGTACTTCCAGCTCTGGAAAGCAGTAAAACATGACAGGAATTCTATACCGCCCCACTCATGCCAAACATTTATGCTTGTGTTAGTTCAACTGTACCAGAAACCTGCCTGTGCAGATAAGGGGTGTCTCTGACTAAAATTAAATAATGTCCTTGCTATAGGTGTATACCATTTATGTACCTCATGAAGCCTGACTGGAATACTCCTAGGCCTAGTCATTACTGCTCACCTCCACCATCACAGGAGTGAGCTTTCACTCTGAAACAAAGCCCCTCACAGTAGCATCCGAGAGATTACTCCTGTGGGGGTGGAGGTGAGCTCTAACATGTAGGCCTCACCTAGCAACACCCTGGGAGTTTTCCAGTCTGGCTTCAGGAGATACGGTGGACATAAAAGTCTACACACCCCCCTGTTAAAGTGTCAGGTTTCTGTGATGTAAAAAAATGAGACAAAGATACATAATTTCAGAAATTATGGAAGAAAGGAAGAAAAAATAAAAAACTAAAAAATATGTTGCATAAGTGTGCACACCCTTTGCCCACTCTTCCTTGCAAAAACACTCCAAATCTGTCAGATTATGAGGGCATCTCCTGTGCACAGCCCTCTTCAGATCACCCCACAGATTATCGGATTCAGGTCTGGGCTCTGGCTGGACCATTCCAAAACTTTAATCTTCTTCTGGTGAAGCCATTCCTTTGTTGATTTGGATGTATGCTTTGGGTCGTTGTCATGCTGAAAGATGAAGTTCCTCTTTATGTTCAGCTTTCTAGCAGAAGCCTGAAGGTTTTGTGCCAATATTGACTGGTATTTGGAACTGTTCATAATTCCCCTCTACCTTGACTAAGGCCCCAGTTCCAGCTGAAGAAGAACAGACCCAAAGCATGATGCTGCCACCACCATGCTTCACTGTGGGTATGGTGTTCATTTGGTGATGTGCAGTGTTGTTTTTTGTACCAAACATATATCTTTTGGAATTATGGCAAAAAAGTTCAACCTTGCTTTCATTAGACCAGAACACATTTTCCCAAATGCTTTTGGGAGACTTCAGATGTGTTTTTGCAGAATTTAGCCAGGCTTAGATGTTTTTCTTTGTAAGAAAAGGCTTCCGTCTTGCCACTCTGCCCCATAGCCCAGACATATGAAGAATACGGAAGATTGTTGTCACATGTACCACACAGCAGTACTTGCCAGATATTCCTGTAGCTCCTTTAATGTTGCTGTAGGCCTCTTGGCAGCCTCCCAGACCAGTTTTCTTCTTGTCTTTTCATCAATTTTGGAGGGACGTCCAGTTCTTGGTAATGTTGCGCCCAATTTTCTCCACTTGATGATGACTGTGTTCCATGGTATATCTAATGCCTTGGAAATTCTTTTGTACCCTTCTCCTGACTGATACCTCTTAAACAATGAGATTGCTCTGATGCTTTGGAAGCTCTCTGCGGACGATGATTTTGCTGTAGGATGCGACTAAGAAAATGTCAAGAAATCCCTACTAGAACAGCTGAACTTTATTTGGGGTTAATCAGAGGCACTTTAAATGATGGCAGGTGTGTACTGAACACAGCTACATCCCCAGTTATAAAAGGATGTGAACACTTATGCAACCGCATTATTTAGTTTTTTATGCTTACCCCCCCCCCACACCCAAAAAAAAAAAAAAAGTTCCAGTTTGTTTTTCAATCGAGTTGTACAGTCAGTTTATAGGTCACATTAAATGGTGGAAAAAGTTCTGAAATGATTTATCTTTGTCTCATTTTTTTACATCGCAGAAACCTGACATTTTAAAAAGGGTATGTGGACTTTTCATATCCACTGTTCATAAATGGCCAACACCTATAACAAGGACATTATTCAACTTTAGTCAGAGCTGCACAGTTTGATGTTCACCTACAGACACCCCTTATCTGCACAGGAAGTTTTTTGGTAAAGGTGAACTATCCCTTTAACCATACAGACAAGGTAAGAGGGGTGCAGCCCAGTGGCTAAATGGTTAACACTTCCACCTGGCAGCACTAGGGTCGTTGGTTCAGATCCCAACCACAGCACCACCTGCCTGGAGTTTGCATGTTCTCCCTGTATGGGCTTCCTGCAGGTACTTCACTTCCTCCCACACTCCAAAGACATGCTGGTAGGTTAATTGGATTCTGTCTAAATTAGCCCTAGTATGTGTAAGTATGAATGTGAGTTAGGAACTATAGATTGTAAGCTCCTTGACGGTTAGGGACTGATGTGAATGTACAATATATATAAATATATTAGCACTGCATATATATACAACTATAATGCACTGTAATAAATTAACAGCAAATGTGTGAAGTACCTTTTGAAATGATATAGGCTCTGTTCACACTGGGGAAATGCACTGTTCCCACAACACTACACAGTACTTGGGATGGTGTGATCACCCTGATTAAGGTGTCCTGTTATGAAACAGAGATCAGCAGCGATCCTGAGGATCGTTGCTGATCTCACATCATTAGTGGTTTAGGAAACAGAGATGATCAGCGGGGAACATGTTCTCTGCTGATCATCTCAGCACACAGATGGCCAGTGTATGAAGGAGCGATGTCAACCCTTCACTGGAGATCTGTGTTCTCCCTCCAGATTCTCCAGCCCAGAGCTAGAGAATTGGAGGAACCGCAAACGAAGCAGTAATTTACCGCCGCTTAGTAAATGGTGTTTGACAGATTTCTTACTATAATCTCGTGAGATTACAGTAACAGCAGCCGTTTTCTAGAATTCAAAGCGTTTGTAAATAGCTTCTCTCTTCATTCGGAGAAGTGATCTACACCGCATCATAAAAAGGAATTCAGAGAACTCTCTCCTCTGAGAATGCTGGAGAACTGAGCAGCGGTCATTTACCACTGCATGATAAAAGGACACCTATACCCCACTGATGGAGGCATACTACACCCACTGTGTGCTGTAAAACAATGGTGCAGGTCACATTTTCAGGCCCTGAGCTGTATGACTGCTCCATTCATTTTGAATGAGTTCCCTTACACAGTGCATACTGGTGTGCACAAAAAACACTGGAAATGCATAAAGCTAGCCTTACGGTTCCTTAACTGGGGCAGCGTGGAGTTGGGCTTTATCTGCAGTGGAGAAAAGGTAGGTGACCAGAATAGCTGTGCTGTTTAGCAGGGCAGTGTAAATCCCTGAACTGGATGGACAGACACACAGATCCTTTGCCAGGTAAACCAGCCCAATACATGTATTCCATCTGTGTATAATGCTGGTAGTCTGGTGTGTATCTTTCCTGTATCAAGCTATAGGGAACAGCTGACACAATGAACCCCCAGGCTTCATACGAATCTAGATTAGCGGGGAGGAGCCTGTGGAACCGCTAAATGTTCTATATAGGTGCCTCTATTAATAGCCCACACTGGGACACGCGTATAGAACGGATTGGAACTGAGGAAAACAAGAAAGAAAGCAAAAACTACCTTCCTATCACAGCACGAGGGACGAGGATTGCTCCGCCCACTCTAAGACTCGTCATAACTACCTGACCATGTCGCCCAGCTCCACCATCCACAGCGACCAAGACTCCACACACTTCCGGCTCGGCGCTACTTCCCACGTGATCGGTCATGTGGCCTGTGATGTCAGCGCTACCTGGGACCAGACTGGGGACGTTTGTGGAAGCGGGAAGTGTGAAGAAGAGGATGGTAGGGACTGAGTGTAGGGAGGGACATATGTGTCATTGTGTACATGTGGTAAAGGTAACGAAGTGTAGGGAAGCACGGGGACTGAGCTGTGGACATTAGAGAAGGTGTGGAGGAAGCAGAAGTGAATCATTGGGGTTCACGGGAGATGAGGGATTGTGCCAATACCATATGTGTCATACCAATGCGATTTGCAAATTGAAATCGCATCTAATGAATGTGAGTCATTATTTAACATTGTGCGACTTGTGACGATTTTCAATGGTTTCTTGCAATTTGTGTGATTTCCATGATATTCAATGGATGTGAAAACAACAAAACTAGAAAACATGATGCAAGATCTACTTTAGAAATCGCACTGCAGCAAGTTGTACATGTTAGGATGCTGACATTCATATCAGGAGCGGACTGACCATTCGAGCACTCTGGCACTGCCCGAGGACCCTGGGGTCAGTAGGGGGCCCCAGTGGATGCCCCTGGTACCTTTTTCATAGGCTTTTTTGGGTGTGGTTTGAATGTGATGAGGACACAGGGTCCCCGTGATCCCCTATTGCCCAGGGGCCCCATGAGTTGTCAGTCCACCCCTGATTCACATTCATTCGCTGCAATGTCCAGTGCGATTTCCATTCCCAAATCGCACTGATATGACCGGGCACTGAATGTCAGTATTTTGACGTGTGATTTTCTGCAGCATGATTTCTAAAGTTAGTAGTTCTTGCATGACTTTTTCTGCAGTT